TATATATATATATATATATATATATATATATATATATATATATATAGTCCACAGCTACTTTTTCAAGAGATATATTTTTTTGCTTAACAAACTTCAAAGACCTTGGATACAGTTACACTAGGATAGGATTCTGCACATTTAATTGGAAATAAGCACCAGAGTCTTTCTATTATTTTTTAAAATGTTATACATAGGAGCAGGGGCTTCCCATTGAGGTAAGAATTATAGAAATAATCACTAAAATAAGTGTTATAGTTATATCATAACTATTTGGATTACCTGCAATAAATTTTATCCTATATGTTTTTGTCACAGATTTATTTATTAATATATTGGATGCTGGTTCAAAGAAATGTTAATCAAATCAGTTTCTTTGCTTGTTGAGGTTCCACAATAGAAACTTGAAGCTACTTAAGGGATTAAGAGTTAATGGCCCTCAACTCTCAGTAGGAATGAAGGACTGGGATATATTGTAATATTTTATATATGATTTATTTGTAATACTATATTCCTACTCAGATCCAATACCCAGACAGTCATATATTAGCAAAACAATCTGTTGTTTTGTTTCTCTAAATAAAATATTCATGGTACACAAACTGTCTCTAACCCTATACAGACTGCTGTTATTCTGTATCTGGACAAGAAACATAAAGTCATAATGGCATGTTTGTAAGCTACAGTCCACTTTACCATTTAGTAGACTTTTCTCTTATGCTTAAGTTTTTTAAATGATGCTAACTTTTATTTAATTCAATAACAATTCAATAATTTTATTTAATTCAATAACAATAGAGGAATTCAAACTACAAAGAGCAATGCTTTTGTCATTTTTATTCTCATTGTTTATTTTCATTGTCTATCCAGTATTCAGCAGTACAGTCCTCAGAATCCCAGCTATTGTTTTGAGAGAATGTTTATCAATGGATAGTTCTAAATCTGTTAGTTTTTTTTTTTTTACTCTTCCTTTTTGGATTGTAAATGAAATTTTAATGTATAAAAATCTCATGCATCTTTTATCTAGTGTCTTTGACAAAGTGCGACCACTAGGTATTTCTTATCTGTTCCAGATAAGAACAAAGTAATGAACAACAATATGTGATGCCAGCTCTGTAACAATCTGTTTGGTCATCTTGAAGGTGCCCGTGTTTTTTTTCTAAAAAACCTTATGCCACGTGCTACTACTGAGAAAGCTCAGCGCTCTTTGCTCCCCAAAAACTGTAAATTCACCAATAGTAGGAATTCTTTTACTGTTCTATGGTATCCATAGTGACAGTCCTTCCTTTCTACTCCCTTCTTCACCATGTAACAGCTGAGGATGTGAGCTGGAGGCTCTCTAGTCTTGGGACAAAAGGCAAGCCAGTCACTTATTCATAGATTTATAGATGCGTAGATTTGTGTTTCAGTCACCTTGCTTATCTGGGATTGAATTTCCAGAGACCTATTAGAATTCTTCTCTTTTTCTGGTCTCTGTTAGTTTTATTCCCTGATTTGGCAGAGGTAACCTTTAAATGGTTAGGTGCCTTACTGCTTTTTCTCTTTTCAGTCAGGATGCTTAAAGAACATGAAGAAAGTAGGTTTCTCTTTTCACTCTCCTCCCTTCCCTCAGGCTGAAGTAAAAACGTTATGTAAAAATGTTTGACGACTTCTAATCAGACCAAGGACTGAAGGAATGGCTTGACTATGGTAGGGATACACATGACTCTAATCTACAGCATGTATATCACTACCCCAGTGTTTCTCAACCTTGTCAACTTGAAGATGTCTGGACTTCAACTTCCAGAATTCCAGCGAATGCTGGCTGGGGAATTCTGGTAGTTGAAGTCCAGACACTTGAGAGACCGCCTGCTGCCAATTACCTCCACTAGACCGATTAGATCCCACAGATTAGGCCTCCTCCGAATTCCATCCGCCGGCCAATGTCAACTGGCGACTACTCGGAGGAGAGCCTTCTCTGTGGCTGCTCCAACCCTCTGGAACGAACTCCCCGTGGAGATTCGAACCCTCACCACCCTCCAGGCCTTCCGCAAAGCCCTTAAAACCTGGCTGTTCCGACAGGCCTGGGGCTAAAGAACTGTTGCCCCCGCCTCGAATTGGTATGACTGTTGTGTTTTAATTATGCATTGTTTTTTATGTCGTTTAAATTCTTGTTTGTATCCCCCTTCCCTGGTTAAGTTGTGAGCCGCCCTGAGTCCCCTTCGGGGGAAAGGGCGGCATATAAATAAAATCAACATCAACATCAACATCTTCAAGTTGACAAGGTTGAGAAACACTGCACTACCCACTCCTCCTGGTTCATTTCCTGGCTGGATTCACACCTCAAGCCATCTGTTTTTTTTAAACTACAATTGACTACATTCATTATGTTCAGTCAAAACCAAGCAGTCTACAGCTTGGTGCAATGTGTACACCCAGTGACATCTTTATGGAATACCTAAAGAGCTCACATGAAGGCCAGTTTGATGATAAAAGTATTTTGAAAAGGTGCTGCTTGGTCTCCTGCATCTAAGCTGCAGGAGGCTAGAAAATCAGAATGCTTGCTATTTGCTTTCAAACTTTTTATTCCATGTTTAGGAAGCCCCCTCAACTTTTTATCTCCCATACTTTTACTTTTTTTTTTGTCCAATAATTTTTCTGACAATTTTTTTTTTGCTCACTGATTTTATTAAGTTCAAATTGTTGCTCCTATAGCATATTTTAATAATTTGTCTTTGTGCGTTCATGCACAGATACAGACAAATCTTTTTTTTTTTTGCATAGTCCATCTAACTGCTGGTCTGTGAGTGAATAAAGATTGATTGATAGTCAATCTGTTTTCTTCAAAGAAAATGTATTTTATTTGTATCTTGCCTTTATTATTTTTACAAATAAGATGGTGAACATACCAACCTTTCTCTTCCCGCTTTCCAGAGAACAACTCTGAGGTAACTTGGACTGAGGAGAAATAATTAGCTCAAAGTCACCTAGCTGTCTTTCATGACTAAAGCGGGACTTGAACTCACAGCATCCTGCTTTATAGCTTGGTACCTCAACCGCTACACCAAATTGTCTCTGTAGTCTTTTACTGTAAAACTCAGTGCTACTTCTTGTTTTTCTTATATAAGTGAAGAAGGCAGTTATATAAGTGAAGAGTCACACATTTTTTGACTGATAGCACTGCAAACTGTCTGCTTGGAAGTATTGTTAACTATTGCTTTCTGAAAAATTAAAAGGAAAAAAGAGTTAGAAAGAAGTGAAATAAATTCAATAACACGACCTGGCCTTAGGTAGATGAGGTAAAAAACATCAACCAAATCTTCCCCTCTTTTTGGAAGATCAGCCAGTCTCATAAAAGATATTCAGATCTCAGGTCCTGACTTAAAAGGAGGTTCCATTTAAAAAAAAATACAAAGGAAAATAAAAGACTCAGGACAGATTATAAAATGATGCTAGTCTTCTAATGTAGAGCTTGTAATTTGCATTAAACAGATAAGAACTGAGCTTGTATAATTACTAGGGATAACATAAACAGACTTTACCCTATAATTTCAAAAATAGTTCTTTTCCTTAAAAAAAAAATTCTGTCTTCAGTCTTTCTGAACAGTTTTTCCATGTCTCTGAGGATTCTAGCCCAGTGTTTCTCAACTTGGCAACTTGAAGATGTCGAATGCTGGCTGGGGAATTCTGGGAGTTGAAGTCCGGACATCTTCAAGTTGCCAAGGTTGAGAAACACTGTTCTAGCCACTTAATTCTGAAGATGTTAAAGAGATAGATCACATGACCATGGAAATGTCTTCGGACAGCACTGGCTCTGGCTTTGAAATGGAGATGAGCACAACCCCCTAGAGTCAGGAACGACTAGCACATATATGCGAGGGGAACTTTTCCCTTTAATGTACAGGCATTGACATATCGGCATTCACTGAAATAATACATAATTTAAATATATTTTATTGTGAGCAGTGAAGCAAGTGAACAATAGTTATAGGTGTGTAATGCACTGATGCAGTCGTTTAAATGTAAAAGTACCAAGTTAAAATTATTAAAGCATAATGATATTATTTAAATTATCATTTAAAGTGGGACTTCCATACTTAATTTTAAGCAAGCAGAGAATTATGACCTCACCCAACCTTCTCCAATCTAAATATCTTGGACTACAATATCGATCTGTCCCAGACAGGATAAGAATTATAAACCAAAACATCTAGAGTCACCAAATTGTCAGGGATCTGAAATGTCTGTAAAGTACTGTAGCTGTATATCACCACCATCGTGTAGGGTTTTCACTGTGAGGTTTTCACCCCACTGCTTTCTCTTTTTATAAAATATATATTTTTATATAAGGTAGTCCTCGACTTATGACCACAATTGCGGCCAAAATTGCCATTACTAAGCAAGAGATGTTGAGTTTTGCCCCATTTTACAATCTTTTTGGCCACTATTGTTAAGCAAATAATTGCAATTGTTAAGTCAATCATCTCGTCATTAAACAAATTTGGCTTCTCCCATTGACTTTGCTTGCCGGAAAAGGTTATGAATGGTGATCACAGGGCAGTGCAACTGTCATAAATATATGGCAATTGCCAACGCCCCCCCTGATCACATGACCATGGGGATGTTGCAACGGTTGTAAGTGTGAAAACAGGTCGTAAATCACTGTTTTCACTGCTGTTGTAACTTTGAACAGTCACTGAACAAATGGTTGTAAGTCGAAGACTAACTGTACAACTCCCACTCCACTGACAGGTCAAGCCACGAGAATATAAAATGTGAGCAAACCCCACTCCCTACTAGCACTGATGATGTTATCTCGTTTGGTAATGAAATGTCTGCAAGAAAACAACCAAATTCAGGGAGCGCCAAGGACCCTTCGTATATTTTTCTTCCAGCAAATGTTATATTGCTTCATTTCAATTTTACCCCTCCCAAATAATTCGCATTTAGAAACAGCAGAACGGAACGTTTTGAAGAATGTTGAGACCAATTAAGAAGCAGGCCTTGAGAAACGAGCAAGCAGATGAGGCCACCTACTTAGCACACCTGGCAGCACAGAGAAATGCTAGTGCCTTCTTTGAGAAGTACGACCGAAGTGAGCTTCAGGAACTGCTGACCACTTCATTCTGCAGCTGGCTGGCATCCAAAGACGACATGCGCCACCCATTAGAACTTCCCAGTGGCATTCTGAGTCAGATGAAAAGCGTCAATACTTCAATAGCTATTGTACTTATGCCGGTGGAGCCAGGCTTAGATCTGGACTGTCGAGAAATTCATCAAATGATCAGAGAGTTGGCCGTGGGCATTTATTGCCTGAACCAAATCCCTTCTATCAGTCTAGATGCCAATTATGATCAGAGTACTTCTTGTTCACTCCCTCCAGCGTATTTTGATACAAGAATAGGACAGATATTAATTGCTGTTGACTACATGTTGAAAGCCCTGTGGCATGGCGTATACATGCCCAAGGAAAAAAGGGTAAGGTTCTCTGAACTTTGGCGCTCCACCATGGATATTGATCAAGACGGTGTTCCCCAAACATTAAAAACACCTGCGGCAGAGTTCTGTCAAGCTGGTAAGTTTGCGTCGACATGTTTTTGACCACTGCATAAAAACCTGGTTCAATGTACATAGGAAGGAGTAATCGGGATGAAACTATATCACATAAAATAACTTGTACATTATCCGATACATGCATGTTATGAATACATATTATGAAGTTTCAGTCACCCATGGCTGCTTGCAAATGTTCACCTAAGAAACACATATAGGACCTATATGTCAGGGTTGACTCAGCCTTCCATCCTTCTGAGGTGGGTAAAATGAGGACCCAGATTGTGGGGGCAATATGCCGACTCTGTAAACCGCTTAGAGAGGGCTGAAAGCCCTATGAAGTGGTATATAAGTCTAACTGCTATTGCTATTGCTATTGCTAGAGTAGTCATTGAAGAGATTGTT